AGAGAGAGAGAGAGAGAGAGAGAGAGAGAGAGAGAGAGAGAGAGAATATGCAATGATGAATGAGAAGATTATTAATACCTCAAATAACCTGCAAAAGCAGAATCAATCAGTCAATGGCTGTTGGTAGGATTGTTTGGAGTTTTTTGGTAGATGTTTACAAAGTCTGTGATACAAACTCCAGGAGGCCTGCCCACTCAAAGAGCTGAAGAGTAGTTCCTGTGACACTCTGCTTTCCCCCATTTAATCTCTCATTGATAGTGGTAAACTCCAACACCAACCTTGGGAACCCTGCTACAACAAAATTGTTAAGATTGCTAGTTTTTCATGTAAGTCTCTTGATGAAGTATGGATAGCTGTGATTGGTAAGACAACTGTGTCTACCAGTTACTCTGAGGTTGTAACAACACTTTTATTTTATGTTCAGCCAACAAGAGAAGGCTTAGTAAATAAAATATTAACCTCTGGGGTCAGAAAATAACATATGAAAAGGTCTAGTCAACAGGTAGGTGGCTATGGAAGAATGAAATCAGATCTACATCTCTCACTCTGTACAAAATTGATTCAAGATGGATCAGAGACCTTAATGTAAGACACAAAATGCTGAAACTTCTAGAAGATAACATGGGGGTGGGGGAAAACCACTAGAAGATGCAGAAATAGGCGAAAATTTTCTGAAAAAGACTATTAGCAGAGTAAATAAACAAAACAACTGAAAAAATGGGACTACATGAAATTAAAAAGCTTCTGTACAGCAAAGGAAACCATCAGTAGAGTGAACAGACAGCCCACAAAATCTCCTCCAGCTATAATTCAGACAGGCAGCTACTATCCAGAAAACAAAGAACCGCAAAAATGAAATCCCTAAACCCTAAAGCTGTCAATCAATAGATGGGCTGACAATGGAATAGACAATTCAAAAAGAAAGAAATGCAAATGACCAACAAGTATTTTTGAAGTTATTCAACATCCTTAGCTCATCAGGAAAATGCAAGGTAAGACTACTTCTAGGGATGGAGAGATGGCTCAGTGATTAAGGACAAGTACTGTTTTTGCAGAGGACTCAAGCTCAGGTCCCAGCACCCACATCAGGGGGCTCATAAGTGCTTGTCACACCAGCTCCAGGGATCCAACACCCTCTTCTGGACTCAGAGAGCACCTGCCTTCACATCTTTACATACTTACATACAATGTCATACACACTAAAAAAAATAGACTACTTCCTTTTTTTTTTTTTTTTTTTTTTCCCCCCGAGACAGGGTTTCTATAGTTTTGGTGTCTATCCTGGATCTTGCTCTACAGACCAGGCTGGCCTTGAACTCACAGGGATCTACCTGGCTCTGCCTCCTGAGTGCTGGGATTAAAGGCATGCGCTACCACTGCCCAGCAACTACTTCCTAATTGACCCAATCAGAATGGCTGCCGTCAAGAAATTAAATGACTAAATGCTGATGAAGATGTGGGGGAGAACTTATACACTACTGATAGAAGTATAAACAGATAGAGCCACTATGAAAACCCATGGGGATGTTTCTCAAAAGACTAAAATTAGAGCTACTATATGACCGAACTACGCTACTGCTGAGTGTCCACCCCAAGGACTCCAAGTCCTACCTCAGGACCCTTGTACATCCATGTTTATAGCTAAGATATTCACAGTAGCTAGATGTTCATCACCAGATGGATAGATAACGAAAATGTGCTACACATGCACAATGGAACTTTATTCAGATGTAAAGAAAAATGAAATCATGAACTCTGAAAGAAAATTGATGGAATTGGAAATAACTATATTATGTGAGGTAACAAACTCAAAAAGACAAATACTGCATTTTCTCTCATGTGCAGAGACAGAATTTTAAATCTTTCTATGTGTATATATGTGAGCATATGAGTACAGATGTAGGTCAATAAACAGGAGAAGGGCTGTGGGAGGAGAAAAGGAAGTTTTAAGAAGGAAGAGGGGTAATAGAACAATTGGGACAAAAAAGGAAGCGGCTTTCTGGACTGGAATGTCACAAGTGCTGTGTGTGGGGGCAATGACAACAACAGAGTGTGTATAAAAGTGACAGACTGAAACTAATTACCATATTTGCCAATTTCTTAAAAAGCAACTAAAATGAATTATGATGTTTTAAATGAAGAAATGTGACAACAGGACACCTTACCAGAGGAGCTTGTCTCTTCTGCTGAGGATGAAGATGTATCTGTGTAGGAAGCCAGAGAAGAGGGTACTTTAAAACGAATGAACGAACAAAGTCACTGGTCTGTATCAGATGCCAAAGTCATCGCTAAATAGATCATTTTCTAAGTGTAACACAACAACTGAGTATTTGCTCAGTATTTTAAGCAGCAGAACAGGGGGACCTACCAGTTTTAGAACTCGATTCTGCTGAGGTTGAAGACATATCTAGAGGTCAAAAGAAGATGCATGACTGTATCCATTTGCTGAATAAAGGAAAGACTGAAATTGTGTTTAACTTAATGTGATAGAAAGTATTACCAGAGGATGTCTCTTCTGCAGAGGTTGAAGATGCATCTGTGTAAAAACATAGAACGTATGAAGCTTAAAAAAAGGAATGTCGGGTTCAATTCACAGTCCCACATGGCAGCTCACACACTGTAACTCCAAGATCTAACACCCTCACACAGACACACATGCAGGCAAAATACCAGTGCACATAAAATAAAAGTAAATAAATTATTATTTAAAAATTAAAGATTCAGGCCCAGCGGCGGCCCACAGAGGTGGACAGGCCCTGCGGTAGAGATAAGCAGACGGAGGTGGACAGGACCGGCGGCGGTGGCCGACAGAGATATTCAGGCCTGGTGGCGGCCCACAGAGGTGGACAGGCCACGCGGTGAAGACAGGCGGACGCAGGTGGGTCCGCGGCGGCGACCTGCGGAGGTGGAAGGGCCCAGTGGCAGCAGCCGACAGGGACATACAGGCCCAGCAGCAACCGGCAGAGACATACAGGCCCCGTGGCAGTTCACAGAGGTGGATGGGCCCGGCAGCAGTGACAAGCAGAGGTAGGTAGGCCCGCGGCAGCAGCCAGCAGAGACATACAGGCCCGTTGGCTGCCCGCAGAGGCAGACAGACCCAGCGGCAGCTGACAGGGACATACAGGCCCAGTGGTGGAGACAAGCGGACGCAGGTGGGCCTGTGGCGGTGGGCCACAGGGGTGGACAGGCCCGGGGACAGAGAGGGGCAGACGCAGCTTGGAACGGGGACGCCCCTAGCCCCAACACCTGGGGAAGAGGCTATCTCGTGGGTCGGAACCAGGGCGAGTCTGGACACTCCGTCTGGGGACAACCCAGGGCCCAACTGCTGATCCTGTGAAACCCAACAACTTGGAGGTGTTGGTGAGACTACCCTGCTCAGCTGAAACCCATCTGGGAGAGGATTCAGATGCCTACAGTTTGAAGTCTGAAGAAACAAGATCAGCTG